CTCAGAAGAAGGAAAGGATAAAGCCATCGCTGCAGTTAATTAAGTTTAATGACCCCGGTCGTTCAGTGAATCTGGCGGATTCCCCCCCCCCCGGACTTTGCTTTCCGGGAGGTTGCCCCCCCCCCCCCAAAAAAAGGGGGGATCACGTGTGGCTGGGATGCTGTGACCATCATAAATAGGAACCAGTTGCAAGCAGTCGAATCTTGGTCACGTGACCGTGGGGATGCCGCAACGGTTGTAAGGGTGAAAAACAGCCCTGGCCCCGGGGGCCGCTTTTTTTTTTTCCTGTGCCGTTCTCATTTCAAATGGTCACTAAATGAGCTGTTGTAATTGGAGGGCTAACTCTGCAGACCTAAGCTAGGTTGGTCCTGCTGTGATTTTCTGCCAGCCCAGGGATCCATAGACCAAAGAATAATAGAGTTGGAAGGGACTTTGGAGGTCTTCTAGTCCAACCCCCTGCTCAAGCAGGAGGCCCTTCTTTCCTCTTCCTCCTCCTCTTCCTCCTCCTCCTCTTCCTCTCCTCCTCCTCTCCTCTTCCTCCTCTTCCTTCTCTTCTTCCTCTTCCTCCTCTTCCTCTCTTCCTCCTCTCCTCTTCCTCCTCCTCCTCCTCCTCCTCTTCCTCCTCCTCCTCTTCCTCTTCTCCTCCTCTTCCTCCTCTTCCTCTCCTCCTCCTCTCCTCTTCCTCCTCCTTCTCCTTCCTCTTCTTCCTCCTCCTCCTCTTTCTCTTCCTCCTCCTCCTCTTCCTCCTCTTCCACTCCTCTTCTTCCTGCTCCTCCTCCTCCTTTTTGAAATAACAGTTGGAAGGGACCTGGGAGGTCTTCTAGTCCAACCCCCTGCTCAAGCCAGGGACCCTATCCCATTCTGGACAAATGGCTGTCCAGTCTTCTTCTTAAAAACCTCCAGTGTTGGAGCACCCGCAACTTCTAGAGGCAAAAGCTATTCAGAACCACAGAGTTGAAAGGGACCTCGGAGGTCTTCTAGTCCAACCCCCACCCCCCCATCCTCTGGATTCCTTATACCATTCTGGACAAGTGGCTGTCCGGTGTTTTTTTGAGGGGTGGGGTGGGGGGAACATTGGTGTACCCACAACTTCTGGAGGCAAGCTAGTCAGCCTCACAGAATGACAGGAACCTTGGAGGCATTTTAGCCGGACCTTATCCCATTTTCAACCAATGCTCTTGGTAGGTTGAAGCGCCCCCCCCCCCCCCCCCCCCCCCCAATGTCAGGTCAGACATCATCCTACGGGGCTGTCAGTGTTGACAGCCGACGAGCAGAACAATTGCAAATGATGGATGTCTTCTGCTTCGGGGTTCTTGGCTGGGAGGTTGGGGGCTTGAATGGGTGGGGCGGGGGGGGGTGAGATGAGGGGGAGGGGGGGTCGTGAGTGGGCGGGTGAGAACATCAGGAAGCTTGTGCCTCTGGCTCTGCCAAGATTTCAACATCGTTCCTCCCACTCGCTCGAGCGCCCCATCGGCCCCGGCCGGATTAAATGGAGCGTTGGCCTGTTCCAATTTGGCAGTTCTTGTCTTCCCTGGAGACTGATAAGAGCCCCTTTAATCCTCTACTTTGGTGTGTGTTTGTGCGTGTGTGTGTTTGTGCGTGTGTGTGTGTGTGTGTGTGTGTGTGTGTGTGTGTCTGATTCCTGGGGGAGGAGGGAGCGGAAGCAACTGCTGTGCGATGCTGCAGCTCGCTGGAGGAGCAGACTCCCTCTTATCTCGGCTAGCCATTTTTAATTTTATATTCCCACCCACCCACCCACCCTCTTCCCCAGCATCTGATGTGTGATATGTTCAGAGATTTCCAGCCTAAACTGTTTGTTGGACCCCCTCAGTGGCTCCATCCTCACGTTCCCTTTTAGAACCTGATAATAAATAGTTCTGCTGGCCCCCTTTTGGGATCCTGCAAGAAGCACAACTCCACAACGCAGCTCCTTTCAGTCCCCCCCCCCCCCCACGAAGGCACCACCCCCCCCCCCCCAAGGCCAAAAAAAAAAAAAAAAAAACACAGACAAACCTCCAAGCGGCCTCAGCGGGTCTCTGAAAAAAGGATGCCAATGACCAGCTGTCTGCAAGGCGTATCAGTCCTTCCATCCTCCATCCAGCTCAGAGCTGAAGAAGCTCCTTGGAGGAGAAGCGAAACGTCTTCAAGGAAAAGAACCCAAAAAGTCTAGTTGCCTCTTGGAAAAAAAAAAAAAGAAAGAAAAGGCACCTTGGGGACGTTCTGTGGTGGGCCTCTTAATCTTGTTCACGAAAGAAAGGCGAGGGGATGTCGGTCTGGCCATCTAGGTGCCCGTTAGGTCGTAATTCAACGCGGAGGATCGGCTCTTCATCTTTCAAAAACTTGAATCTTTGCAGATTCAGACTGCCTGCTGATATTCTGCGCTAGCGAGGTGTCCCCCTTTCCGTTTTCGTACTTAATCCGCTTTGTCTTTCAGTTTATCGGAGAGATCTTTGTGCGACTTCTTGGATTTCTTGTTTTTCTTTTCCAGTTGTGTTGGACTGGGCTTTTATTATCGTATTTTTCACTGTTTCCCATGCTTCTTGACTTCCCCTTTAGGATTTTTATCCATGAAATGTTTTGCTTAGCCTCTCTTTGAGTTTGTTTGACCCTTTCCCCCACCCCCCTTCTCCTCCCTCCAGGCCTCTCATTGCCAAAAAGAACCCCAAGATCCCCATGTCCAAAATGATGACCATTATGGGAGCCAAGTGGCGAGAATTCAGTGCCAACAACCCTTTCAAAGGATCGACGGCCGCCGTGGCTGCTGCGGCCGCCGCCGCTGCGGCCGCCGTAGCAGAACAAGTCTCAGCCGCCGTGTCGGCTGTGATCCCTTCACCTGAGCCCCAACACCTGCTGCAGCCCCCGGCTCAGCCTCTTCCCATCCGCAAAGCCAAAACCAAAGAGGGCAAAGGTGAGTAGCAGCTTTTCCCCGGAGGGGTGGGGGCACGAAGAGGGGCAGTTTCTGGATGGGTCCGGTCAGCTCTTCGATGCCCAGAGACGAGCCGTCACCCATAGAGAATATTGGTATTGCTAAGAAAGAGAAGCTGTGAATAGAAGAGGAGTTTTGTAGCTTGGGGGTTGGACTCCGGGGGTCCTTGGTGCTCTCTAGTTTTCTTGCAGATGTTTCACGACCCAACTAGGGCACATCATCAGTGCTAGAAAAGGGAGGGGTGTGTTTGGAGAGGAGGAGGAGAAGGTGGGGGGGATTGTGGGCTGCTTTGTGCTCTCTGCACTTGGTGGTTTTCTGTGTAGAGCGTGCTGACCTCCAATTTGCACATTCGATGTTTCGTGACCTTCCTAAATCGTATCATCAGTGCTGCAAGGAACACACAATTCTCCAACAGCTCACACCCCAGATAAGCAGGGATTAACCCCAGACAAGCAGTGAAGCAGAAAACAATTCCCCAATCAAAGAACAACCAAGGAAGCTACTACGCATCTACCAACATGGCCGGGGCAGGCGACCGTATATAGATAGGGAGCAAACCTCATTCCCTTCTAGCACTGATGATGTTAGATAGTTGAGCCATTAAATGTCTGCAAGAAAATTACCAAGCTCAGAGAAGGACCCCAGAGTCATCATCATCATGTTGTCCTCCTCCTCCTCCTCCTCCTCCTCCTCTCTCCTCCCTCCATTCTGCAAACCCCACTCCTTTCTTATGTAGAATAACAGAGTTGGAAGGACCTTGGGAGGTCTTCTAGTCCACCCCCCTGCTAAGCAGGAGACCCTATGATTGTCTGTTCTCTTCCTATACACCTCCAGTGTTGGAGCATCCGCAACTTCTGGTGGCAAGTAGTTCCACTGGTTAATTGTCCTCACTGTCAGGAAATTTCTCCTTAGTTCTAGGTTGCTCCTCTTAGCTTCCACCCGTTGATTCTTCTCCTGCCCTCAGGTGCTTCTAGCACTGATAATGTTACCTAGCTGGGTCCCGGAACCTCTGCAAGAAAACCACCACATGAAGGAGTCCACACTCCACAAATAGGAGAGTGTGCCCATATTTCAGGGTTGAGATAGTTCCAGGATGAAGGTCAAGAGTCAGGGCGTTGCATCCTGGACCTAAAAGCAGAAGACCTTTGCTTTTACCTGCCTCTCAGAGTTGAGAGGTCAAGCACGGGATGTTCCTGTATAAAGAGGCCCCTTGCTTCCTTGGGCAAACTTCGGCCTAAGTTGTTCACCCTCAACCCGAGGTTAAGTGTCCCTCGGCCTTCCACGCTTCCGCTGGGCAGGCTCCAACCTTCCCGGAGAACGGAAAAGGGCCAACTTTGAGTGGTCTTACCCCTCCCCTGTCACGTTTTCTCCTCCCCGGGTTTGGTTCCGTGCAGGCGAGCAGAGTGGAGAGGAGGGACATGGTGGGCTCAGCGGCTAAGACGCTGCACTCGTCGATCAGAAAGGTCGGCGGTTCGAATCCCTAGCGCCACGTCACGGAGTGAGCTCCCGTTCCTTGTCTCAGCTTCTGCCAACCAACCTAGCAGTTCGAAAGCACGTTTAAAAAAAATAAAAAATGCAAGTAGAAAAATAGGGTGGGAAGGTAAACAGCGTCCCGTGTGCCTCCTGGCGTTTATTCCTGCCGGCCACATGACCACGGAGGCGTCTTCGGACAGGGCCAGCTCTTCGGCTTTGTAACGGAGATGGGCAACGGTCCCCTAGAGCCGGAAACGACTAGCACGGATGTGCGAGGGGAACCTTTTACTTCTTACCTTTTAGAGCGGACAGGGCGACAGCCAAGATGCTTACGCTTTTTCTGCAAGCATCTCGTTGGGATGTAATTATGCCGAGCCTCCCTTGCCAAGGTTTGCCATCTGCTCGCCGCTTTGGAGCGCCCCCGGGACAACCGCGGCTCTTTCCGACCAGGGCCAACCGTTGACTGTTCACCCCAAAGGTCCTTCCTTCTCCCCCTCCCCAGGACCCGGCCACAAGAAGCGGAGCAAAAGCCCTCGCGTCCCCGAGATGAAGAGGAAGGGAAAGGGGAAGAAGATGGCGCCCCTGAAGATCAAGTTGGGCGTGATCGGCGGGAAGCGCAAGAAGAGCAGCTCAGTAAGGCGCGCTTCCGTTGGAGTTGTGTGCGTGAATGTGAACCCTGAGCTGGCCTTGGCGTTTCTGGGCAAAATTAGCCAGGAAGGAAGAGCTTTTGGGGCTTTTTTGAGAAAGAGGCTGCCGGTCCGTCTCAAAGCGAGCTAATTCCTGTGACCGATGGCTGTTCTGCAAATTAAGCTCTTTAATTTCAATTACGCACGCCACGCAGGTTACCACCAGCCACAAGCGATGACTCTTAAGCCAGGGGTGACTCCAACCTTGGCAACTTTTAAGGCCGGTGCACTTCAATTCCCCACAGCTGGTTAGGGAGCTTTGGGAATTGGGAGTCCAGAGATCTAAAGGCTTTTGAGTTTTGGGAGTTGAAAACTTTTGAGTTCAGTTCCGGGAGTTGGAAGATTTTGAGCTCAGTTCTGGGCATTGAACATTTTGAGTTCAGTTCTGGGAGTTGGGAGATCTTTGTGTTCAATTCTGGGAGTTGAAAACCTTGAGTTTAATTTCTGGGAGTGGATGAGTTTTGAATTTAACTCTGGGAGTTCAATTCTGGGAGTTGAAAACTTTGAATTCAATTCTGAGAATTGGAAGTCCACAAGCCTTGAAGTTGCCAGAGTTGGACCCACCCTTGCTCTAAGCCCTGGCAGTGCTGGTGGGACCCTTTCGACAGGATCCTTGGCTTTTATGATTCCTTTTACGGACTACGGCAGCATGGTTGCGACTGCTTGCTTGTTTATAACATCCACCTTCATAGCCTTTCTTCCCATCCTTCAACCTTTGCCGTGTGACATAGACCTGCATGCAGTCCCCAAGACCCAACCTTTTATAGCTGAACTAGGTTGGTCAATTCTGTAGCCGGTTGAACCTCTCGTAGCTGGATGGGGTCAGGTGGAAAGCTTCTCCTTGCTTCTTTCCGCCGGCTTTTGGGCCATAGCTCCGAAGTTAGGGCCCCCCCCGCCTCCCTTTCCTTTCCGTCCCCTTCCCACCGTCCCTCTTCATCTCGGCCTCTTTGTGGCTTTTTCCTAATGGAGGGCCGCTCCGGTTATGTACAGCATTTGTTTCAGAGCGACGAAGTGGCGGAACCGGAAGAAGAATCCGACCTGGACAACTCCAGTGTTCACAGTTCTTCCGTGCGTTCGGATAGTTCAGGAAGGGTCAAGAAAGTCAGGCGAGGTCGACCTGGACGAAAGAAGAAGAAAGGTGAGGTTAAGGTTATCGCCCGGGGAGGTTTCCGACCTAGGCTTCCCTAAGATCACGAAGCCGACTCCTCGTCCCAATAAAACCCCTTTTGTTTAGGTTTTAAAGGGAATTCCTCTCCGGCAAAATCCCAGCGAACAGTCTTTCGTGAGATTTCACAACTACTGACTGAGAGTTGCCAGGCCGATAGTTTCCAAACGCCATGCTGTGGCAGATAATACTTTGCAAGGAGTCAGGAACAGATCTTCACCCAAATGAATTTGAACTAATTGTCTCCTGCAACCCCGCCTCACTCCTCTTTATTCCCTATGGGAGGGGCCATTCACTGTCCACCTATGCCGGTGGGAGTCAGCCTGGTCCCTACCGCCCACTAGTGGGCGTTCCAGCTTTCATGGTGGGCGGTAGAGGTTTTGTCCCCTACTTTATAAATCACCATTACTGTGGAACCGGTGGGCGGTTAGAGAAAATTTTACTACTAACAGAGATACAAAAGTGGGCGATAGGTATAAAAAGGTTGACTACCCCTGACCCATGCCTTTACTTCTGAGTGTGACCTTTGTTCCATAGCTGTTCCATTCTTCTGGCAGCTCTGTGCATGCACACACTGGGAACAGGCTCCAGCTGCTCTTCTGCCCCACTGATTTCCGACTCCATAGGCAGCTGGGAAATGTCAGACGGCCCTGGCCCCATCTCTGCCTCCGACGCAGAGCCCTCGTCCGAGCCTTTCCCAGACTCCAGGACTGGCCCAGGTTCCTCCCCAACCTCCTCGCTGTCTGAATCTGCCGCCAGCTCAGTGCTGGCCGCAGGTGGGCCGCAACAGGAGGTAGATGTAGCAAAGCCTTCTCTGATCGCCCAGGAAGGAAGGGGGCACCTGATTAACTTCTAACCGACAAGGAGAAGAGGGCATTTGTTGTTGAAAAAGGGCAGATCTTTTTTTCCCCAACTTTTGATGTCCGTAGCAAGATAATGCTGGAGGGTTTCGTCTATAAGAAGGACTAGAGCAGACAGCGCGTGGGGTGGGACGCCAGGGATGACCCCTCCCCCCTTTTTTCCTTTCTCTCTCTCTCCCCTCCCCCGGGTTGGCAGTTGCCGGTGAAGAAGAGGCCGACGGCTACGAGACCGACCACCAAGACTATTGCGAGGTGTGTCAGCAGGGCGGGGAGATCATCCTGTGCGACTCGTGTCCCAGAGCTTATCACCTGGTGTGCCTGGATCCGGAGCTAGACAAGGCCCCGCAGGGCAAATGGAGCTGCCCTCACTGCGTAAGCCGCTCGCCTTTCTTCCTTGCCTCTTGGCTGCACCACGGGCAACCTCTCCCAGTTAGCCTCCCCCCCCCCCGTCTCCCAACCCTCCAGTTTGGACGTGGTGGGGTTCACATTTTTTTTAACCACTGCTTCTGTGGAGGTGGCTTGGTTGGTGAGCGTGGTTTTGTTGGTTGGGGGTGGCCAGGTGGTCACGTGACTTGGGTGGGCACGGCCATGTGACTCGGGTGGGCGTGGCTAGACAGCTGTGTGACTTGGGTAGGTGTGGCCAGGGGGCCCCGTGTGACCGGGTGGGCGTGGCCGTGTGACTGGCAGACCAAATATAAGTGGGCATCCAGCCCTCCTTCCCTGCTTTGCATCCAAACCCTCTGGGAAATTCGGATTTCTGCTGAATGACTGCACCTGGGCGGATTCCTGTGAGTCGGACTTGGAAGCCTGGGGTGCGGCTGGTGGGCCGGGGAGGGTGGAAAGGGAGGGACTGTGGAAGTGGGGGGCTGCTACGTGCACAGGAACACGGAGACGAGCTGGGGTTTTCGGGAAGGACTCCTGTCTGCTCAGGTGCTTCGGGGTTCCCTGCCTTTGGGTTGGCCCTCCTAGCAGGGGGTTGGACTGGAAGACCTCAAAGGTCCCTTCCAGCTCTGAGGTTCTGTTGGCTTCTGGAGTCATGGGTGCTCCATCCCTGGAGGCTTTCCAGAAAAGACTGGAAAGCCATTTGTGGGAAGTGGTGGAGGGCAGGGACCTTCAAACTTGGCAAGTTTAAGACTCGTGGACTTCCAGCTCCCGGTATCCCTGAGCTGATATGAGACTGGAGGAGGAATTCTGGGAGCTGGGAGTCCACAAGTCTTAAACTTGCCAAGTTTGAAGACTCCCGGGGTAGGGTCTCCTGCTTGACTAAAAGACCTCCAAGGTCCCTTCCAGTTCTGTTGTTCTGTTATGATTCTGCCCCGCGAAGGCGCCTCCCGTCTCGCTAGAACAGTACGGGTAGTTCCTTGACTTACAGCCGTTCAAGGTTACAACGGCATTGAAAAAATGCAACTGTTTTTTACTGCTCGCATATGTTGCAGCATCCCTGTGGTCACCTGATCAAAACCCCGATGCTCGGCAACCGATTCGTATTTACGACAGTGGCAGCGTCGCCCTGGGGGGTGTGTGGGGGGGAAGCGGGTCACGTGACCCCCCTTTGTCATTCTTCTGCCAAACAAAGTCAGTAAGGAAGCCGGATTCCTTTAACAGCGGTGCGACTGTGTTAAACCACAGCCACAATTCGCTTAACAACTGTGATAAGACAGGTGGACGAAACTGGGACAAAGTTCCCTTCGCCTCTGTCTTGCTCCCCGATGGGAATTTTAGGCTGAACCTAAAAGGGTCGTAAGCCGAGGACTACCCGTAAAGAGGGAGAGTCATGCTGGGGACCTGCAAAGATCTGGAACTGGATCTCTTTTAAGGAAAGGTCAAGGTAAATCCACTCGCGCATCCGCGCCAGTCGTTTCCGGCTCTAGGGGGCGCTGCTCACGTCTCTGTTACAAACCTGAAGAAGAGCCGGCGCTGTCCGAGGACGTCTCCGTGGTCACGTGGCCGGCAGGACTAAACGCCAAAGAAGGCGCACGGAACGTTGCCCCCTTCCCACCAAGGGGGTCCCTATTTTTCCACCTGCATTTTTATTTTTATTTTTTGCGCGCGCTTTCGAACGACTCGGTTAGCAGAAGCCGGGACCAGGAACGGGGAGCTCACTCCGTCACGGGGCGCTAGGGATTCGAACCGCCAATACTGCCGGACTTTCTGATCGACAAGCCCAGCGTCTTGGCCACCGAGCCTCCCTCGGATACTCTTTATATCGAATCCTGAATTCTAGCAAGTGATTCTGGACCACCCCCCAAATGTTTTTTTTTTAAAAAAAAACCCGCTCACCCCTCTTTTTTCAAATTTCTTGCACATCATTGCCGGAGTTTTTACTTCCTCTTCATTTAGACTCCTCAGCCCTGCTCTGGGCTGAACCCTCGTACCATAATCCATCTCTCTCTCTCTCTCTCTCTCTCTGTCTGTCTCTGTGTGTGTCTTTCTCTTTCTCTCTCTCTCTTTTTCTGGTGGTGTTGTGGTTGTCGTGTCCCTGGCTTACAGGAGAAAGAAGGGGTACAGTGGGAACCGAAGGAGGAGGATGAGGAATACGAAGGTGAGCTGGACGAGAAGGAAGAGGAGGACGACCACATGGAATACTGCCGGGTCTGCAAGGACGGCGGGGAGCTCCTGTGCTGTGACGCTTGCATCTCTTCCTATCACATCCACTGCCTCAACCCACCCCTCCCGGAGATCCCCAACGGGGAATGGCTGTGCCCCCGCTGCACGGTGAGGAAGGACTGGGGAAGGATTCCGGACGGCGGGGTGACCAGGGAGGCTGGGAGGAGGGAGAGGGTTCCTCACCCCTCACCCTCTATCTTGAAATGTATATATCCTTCTGGTGGTCCTCAACTTACAAAAGTTCACTGAGCGGCCTTTCGAAGTTTCAACGGCATTGCAAAAAAGCGGCTTAGGGCCACTCGTCGCACTTAACGACCGTCCCAGCATTCCCCGCGGTCACGGGGGTTGCTGCGATGGCCGTAAGCGTGAAAACGGGTCAAAACAGCCCTCCCCCCCTTTTTTCAGTGCCGCCGTAACGTTGGTCGCTAAATGAACTGTTGTAAGTGAAGGAATACCTGCATTGTCTCCAGGAGGGCAGGCGGGCGAGATCAGCGCCCTGATTTCTGATGGCTCCTTCTTCCTCTTCGCAGTGCCCCATGCTAAAAGGCCGGGTCCAGAAGATTCTCCACTGGCGGTGGGGAGAGCCCCCCACGCCGGTTGCGGTCCCCGTGCCCCCTGACAGCAACCCGGACGACCCGCCTCCCAAGTTGCTCCAGGGACGTTCGGAGCGCGAATTCTTCGTCAAATGGGTTGGCCTCTCTTACTGGCATTGCTCCTGGATAAAGGAATTGCAGGTATCTCTTTGGCGGGCCGGCAAGGGCATCGGAGGGAGCGGGGCAGAGATCTTAAGGGGGGGGGGGGGGGGGCGGGAGGCAGCCAGACCCTGAGCAAATGTGAGGGGATTCTGAGGTCAGCCCTGGCTAGGCGGAGCTGGGAGGCTTTGAACAGGGAGCTTTGCATTGCCAGTCCCACCTGCGTTGGTTCTCTCAAGGGACTTTTTCTGATATAAGATTGTATTTACCACTGTATACACCGCTCAATAGTACAATAGAGTAGAGTAGACTAGACTAGACTAGACTAGACTAGACTAGAGTAGAGTAGAGTAGAGTAGAGTAGAGTAGAGTAGAGTAGAGTAGAATAGAATAGAATAGAATAGAATAATAAAAGATTAGAATAGAATAGAATAATAAAATATAGATAAAATATAGAATTAGAATAGAATAGAATAGAATAGAATGAATAATAAAATTTAGAATAGAATAGAATAATACAATATAGATAAAATATAGAATTAGAATAGAATAGAATAGAAGGAATAATAAAATTTAGAATAGAATAGAATTAGAATAGAATAGAGTAATAAAATATAGATAAAATATAGAATTAGAATAGAATAGAATAGAATAGAAGGAATAATAAACTTTAGAATAGAATAGAATTAGAATAGAATAATAAAATATAGCATTAGAATAGAATAGAATAGAATAGAGTTGTTTTTTCTGCAGTCCTAATCATGCTCTGCTCGGTCCCGTTGGGTTGCAGAACCAAACCAGACAGTGATAGCGGTGCAGATGACAGACTCAATAATTCCTCTGTAGACAGCAGCTCCTTGGGCGGTTTTGAGCTTAAAAAAATGAAAGGGAGTATTTGAAGGTCAGGGTTAAAGAGTGAGAATCGGAGGAGGAGGAGGAGGAGGGCCGGGGAGGGGTTGGGATCCTTGGTGCTCTCTGAGCTGGGTGGTTTTCCTGAAGACGTTTCGTGACCCAACTAGGGAACCTCCTCCGTGCTAGAAGGGAGCGGGGTTTGTGGAGAGGAGGAGGAGGAGGACTTTGGGGTTCTTGGTGCTCCCTGAGCTTCGTGGTTTCCTTGCAGCCGTTTCATGACCAGCTTGGGAACACTATGAGTGCTAGGAGGGGGTGGGGTTTGCAAAGAAGAAGGGAGGAAGAGGAGGAGGAGGAAGAAGAAGAAGAAGAAAAAAGGACCGGGGAATCCTTGCGTTCTCTGAGTTTGGTGATTTCCTTGCTTCATGACCCAGCTAGTAACATAACATCCTCAGTGCTACAAGGGAGTGGAGTTTGCAGAGAAAAAGAAGAGGGGGGAGGAAGAGGAGGAGGAAGAGGAGGAGGAAGACGAGGGAAAAAAAAAAGGACCGGGGAATCTTTGTGTTCTTTGAGCCTGGTGGTTTCCTTGCAGACGTTTCACGACCCCCCTCAGTGCTACAAGGGAGTGGAGTTTGCAGAGAAAAAGAAGGAAGGAGGACTGTGGAGTCCTTGGTGCTCCCTGACCTTGGTCTTCTTGTTGACGTTTCATGACCCAACTAGGGAATGTCACCAGTGCTAGAAGAGGGTGGGGCTTGCTCTCTGTTTACATACCGTGGCTTGCCCTGTCTGTGTCGGTGGCGGTGTTGTTGCTTTTTCCTGGCCATTCCTTCATTAGCCTGCTGTGACTGTTTGTTTGGCTGTGTTGGTTGCTTCTTGATTGGGAAATTGTTTGCTTCTTCATTGTTGGTCTCATATTAATTTGGGGGTTAACCGTCGCTTCCCTGAGTTTTGATTGCCGGTAAGGAGGCATTTTGGTCTTTTGGATTCCTAAAGGGAAGAAACTACTAAATCAGACAATCAGTGGTGAGAGCAAACCCCACTCCCTTCTAGCACTGATGATGTCCCCTAGTTGGGTGAGGAAACGTTTTCTAACCACCAAGCTCACAGAGCTATAAGGACCGCCCTCCTCCTCCTCCTCCTCCTCCTCCTTCCCCTTTCCCTCCTCCTCTTCCTGTTCTTCTTCCTCCTCCTCTTCCTCCTCCTCCTCCTCCTCCTCCTCCCCTCTTCCTCCTCCTCCTCC